TTCAATGACAAACTGTCAATAAATTCAAAATCTTTTGAAATGTGTCTTAGAAATTTTTATGCGGGAGACTTATTTTCTAATGATATTTCGTTTATGAAAATATATTTTGGATGAAGAAATTATGATGAAAAAGTGATTGGTATAGCTAAGAGAAAAAACATTTTACTATTTTCAGTGCAGTAGCCATTTCATGTTCAAGAGTAACTTCAATTTGCCCAATACCCTCTGTAATGTTTTGGCCTAAATCTTTCCCCCACTAAAATAATAAAATTTTTCCACCCTGAAATCTGAGGGTTACTGCCAGTGTCACTAAAAGAAAAAGAGGTATTACAAAGGTATTCAACTTGGGCTTAGACTTGCTGGGCTAAAATAAAGTCCTTGTAAATGTTACTATCAAGTATTGCTTAAGAGAACTACAAATGGATTATATACCATAATTTAAAAGTGAGCCTGATTATAATTAGTAATTTCCATTTAATACAAGAACTTCACATTTTTTTAAACTTTCTCAGACTACGAATAAAATAATTATTGAAACTGAAGGAAATTCATGAAATTTTGTTTTATTTTAGAAAGATATATAATTTGAATTATATTTTCTTCACATACACAAACATTCAATCTTATGCCAACATATCTTCAACCTTTTTACAACTTCAGCACAACATACACACTTTCATTTACAAAAGTAGTCATACATACAAACACTATGAAAGAACACCACACACTAAATTCTTATAAAAAAATTATTCCACTCTTTTGGAATAATAAAATTCAGTGTTTTTTCTATAATATTTACAGATAATTTTCTGATGATAATTTTGTTCTACAAAAATAAATTCAATTCAATCACTTGAATTAAGACATGATTTACAATATAAGATTGGTTTGTAATACAACTCTGGCACAATTCTCATAAATATTCAACAAGTTGGAAGATGTGGAAGTGAAATGCTCAGTAATAATAAATAAACCATCACAAACCTGACATACCAAACACCTAACAGCTGAAAGGGTTCAATTTCCAATTCTACGCCTATCTTTCAGTAATGTAAACTAAAAGAATCTACATCACTGCATGAAATTAAAACAATTTCATGATTTTTAATTGGAATCTACAAATATTAGAAAATTATTGATTTACAATATGCCAACAATTTTTATATCTGAAATATATTCACCAGTGGTATTTTGATATTTTTCTGATGACTGACTATCCTCAAACTCCAAGTCACATTCATATGTTAATAGGAAAGATATAAGGATGTATATAAAGAGGATGAAACACATGCAGCTGAAGGCACAGATGAGTCTATGAATGTGCAGTGCCTCACTGCTCCTACAGCACTCCATGGTCAGCCCTGTGGTAAGGCATGATAATTAGCATTTTTACCACCAGAAAATCAATATTACAGTCTATTAATTTTAGTCAACACTTGATAGACATTGAGATGGAAAAATTATAAATCATGGAAAACACATGGTTATGATAAAGATGCAGGATAATCAGAAAGAAAAACAGTCCTGCAATATTAACAATTACACATCGATTCTAAAGTTAGTTTAAGTTACTATTCCATGTGATAATTTTCATTCTATTTGCATAAATGCATCTAGCATCAAATTCATGTCACCATGCATTGCAGAGTCTAATCCTACCATCAACTCTTGTTTCCTCACCTCACTATGAGAAAACATGAAAGAAAGAGAAAGAAATTCTTCCATGGTATCCGTCAGAGAAAACCAAGCTAACTACAAAAATCAATGAATTCTAATTGTGAAGCATTCCTCAATTTCACTGCCTTTCTTCAAGTTCCACAGTATCACTTTTACTTTCCAGAACTCATAAAATCAACATTTATTTCAATAAAGCTATTTTGGGTGAATTCATACAATGAAGAATGTTATTCATTCCAGTCCTCATTTCTATTTAGTTTTTAGTTTCATGGGTTTTATTCTGAAATTTGAAGGATGGGTATATTCTTATAGTTTCTGTTGAATCAGTGATACAAATGTGAAGATTTGGAATGTTGTATTCAATTGAGATCTACGCAATACGAAGTTGGCTTTTGTAATAGAGGAAATAGTAAAAGCACGGTGACAAAAAGAAAAATGGTGGTGGATGAAGCACCAGTTAAATTTGGTGCTAGAAGCAATGATGAAAATATACTACAAAAATATTAAAAAATTGATGTAGCAACTATTAAGTAAATGTCAGAATTAAATTATATTTCTCAGAAGTTTTATTGATTTAATTTATCAAACATATTACACAAAACTGTAGCATACATGTAAGTGAGATAACTTGGAAGTTACATAATACAAACAAAACATTTCAAATAGCTGCTTACAAAGAATTTGAAAAATTCATATTCTTTGTGAAATTGCCCTTGCAATTGACAAAATGAAATAAATTGCAAAAATTGTCGAAGTATCATTCTATGTATGAATACCTCTGAATGTATGAGTGTAAAAGCACTAAGAGCTTGTGAAAAGATAAGGGAGGAGGAGAGAGATGAGAGAGAGGGAGAGGGGGAGGGGTGAGAGAGAGGGGGAGGGAGAGA